GTGTTTCAGACTACATTTTTGTCAATTGCGTGGCAGTACTGACAACGGGTAACGTTTCCAGAAAGGGTTAGCAAACTTGAGGGGGACATTTTGGTCAGAGAACAAGATGCACTTTCAGCAGGACTCATGGATTGTTCCAAAAAACACGAGAACACTTGACGCTTACCATCTGGCTCCATTCCCACGTCGAGACATTTTTGAAATCGGCACGAACGACAAACGTTTCGTCCAGCTGAAATGAGCATCATAAATTCCATATGGTGGTTTTGATGCGTATGTGTATGTGTGGATGGATGTTCGTTGCTTGACGGCCACCACTTTGGATGACTCAGTGTATGTTTCCTCAACCATTTCTGTACACTGAAAGCATGCACTCGCGCCGCCGTCTGGGAAAACATGGTGGGTGGAAAGAGCTGACGCTACTGGAGACTGATTCATTTATTACTTGATTTACCAGCGAAAAAAAAAACAAAACAGTGTAGAGATCTAGGAGGCCTTAAAACCGTGAAACTCCGCTCTTTCAAAAAATTCCTTTTTCCCACTACGACTTGTGAGCAAGGGTGGTCTTCTCCCGAGGTCCAAATAAGAAGATATCGACAAGCGTGTTTATAAATAGAGCCAGGGCTACGATGAGTGTTTGTAATGGTGTTGCTCAAGCGGACCTTGATCAAGTCCGCCGTTCAATGTTGCGAGAATTGATAAGCGCATTGCGATCGAAGAATACGAGCACAAGTCGCCAGCAAGCAAAGAACACTACGTCCACTAGCATGTACGAGAGCGAGCGCGAGCACGAGCTGCAGCAGCAGCAGCAGCAACAGCACAAAACATTGTGGGTGTCTTTCGCTATTGCTGCTGGCTTGTGCAGCTGCAGTTGGTCTCTCAATAGCCCTAGACCACCCGAAAACAACCATCCAGTGAACTGCTGATTTGAAATGACTAATTCCAAGGAATCACGTTGGTATAGGCTAATGTCGGTTTCCGAATGATGACTAGTGAAGCAAAGACTGTGAAAAAATGAACTTCGGTTGGGGAAATGCTAGATGTCGAGGAGGTATGACTAATATTACCAGTTATTACTCACCTTTATCGATTCGACACTTCTGATCATAGCGGCAAATGTAGTTCTTTCCAGCACGAACCTTAAGAAGAGCATAGTTTAGATAATGATGTCTCGACCATCAAAGGGTCTCTTCTTACAGTTCGTCGGAAGAATCCTTTACATCCGAAGCAGGCAACAACACCATAATGTCGACCACTGGCCTCGTCACAACAGACCGAACTAAAATAATATGATAAAATAAGAAACATGATGAAATCGGAATGTTTTTCAGTGGTCTTTCGACTCAACAGAAGAATGAAGTACACCCGTCAAAGGTCATGCTCGCGCTCCCAACAACAGCTGCTGTCCCGATTTTGACATCGTCAACAGCTGTTCGACGACCTACGATCATGTCGTCGAAGTTCCCAATACAAATTTCCACAATACAACAAAATAACGAGATCAAAAGAACACCAAATGAAGTTCATCCTTGAGAAAAGTAGGCTGTCTCCATCAGTAAAGACGTCGGTAGACAGTGCGGTCGCGCGAAGATCTTATCGGTTCACCTGAGGTCACCGATCTATTACACCCATCATCTATTCACGCTCACATTGGGCTCAGCAGCAATGCGAACCCCCACACAGACGGAAAACAAATTTTGAATTAGTCTTCAGAAGATCTTTGAACCTTCGCCAGCAGAATGCTTTTGTTCGTGCTGCGCTCTAGGCAGACGCACACGACATACAACGGATGTTATTCGAGTAAGCCTCGATCGCTGAACCCTAGCGCACGACGACGATTAGGTCAACTCAAGTGCTGACGCACTAGCCAGACCATGTGACTGAGGTTAGTGCCACCTGAATAGATAGCCTGATGATGTTGACTGGTAAGTGATCGTTCTTTGAACGGCTACTGAAAGTGTTCCACCGCATCAGAACCGTTTATCACTACTTGAATTTTCACCCAAAATTCATGCAGGGTCTTCAGTCATGTCCCGAAGATATCCAAGAGCCATTCGTAGTGATCGTTGTCGTCCCTCGACAGGGCTTTGATTCTCAACCAGTGCAGGGCAATAGCTGCCAGCCAGCAGCGTGTCACAAAAACATCATTTGTTTGTGCGTTTCCGTCTGCCAAAAAGAAGCGCCCGACGACGAGATGCGAAAAATAGAGAGAAAGCGCGAATAACAAGGATCGTTGGCGACGGCAAGGAACTAACAATCGAGGCCAGTTGAGTAAACACAACCAACTAGCTAGTCAACAGCCAGTACGATGTGAGTGAGAGTGAAAGCGAGCGAGTCGAGAGCACAAAAACACGATATACTCCCTTCAAATGAGGCGACTAGTCTCTATACCATGCTCAAATTTCAATACAAACGTAAAAAGATGAAGGATGGGTCCACGTTGGTCCACGTTGCGCCGTGCACAACGCTGTCATAGAAAATCGCAGAGGAAGTTGAAAGCGTCTCGGAACGAAACAAGGAAATTTCGCAACAAGGAAATTCTGACGATCCTAACTCTACTTCATGACAGCTTTCCCGAAGAATATGGAATATATAGAGGCCTAGATCGAAAGAAGGCGAAATAGAGGCCTACGGGGTTAAGGAGGAACTAAAGGCTGAGGGCTACAGAAAACTGCCTCTTGAGCAAGAATTCTGTGGTCTTTGTAAAGGCAAATAAGCCCTGAATTGTACAAAAATAGAGCGAGAGACCACTTGAAAGCGAATGACAGACATTCGACAAACAGATGAAAACAACTAAAGATGACTCATAATAACTTACCATATGGTTGACTCTTCAGTATTTCCAGTAGCTTTGGGAGAGAAATCAGAAATTTCTGGCTTGAGCAATGATTCCATGGAAAACGTAGGTTGATTGGGCGATCCGCAGCCCATCAGTGCGGCAAACGCAAACGCCGCGGTCGAAGCTCCGGCGTCCGTCATTCCTGTGCGATAAACACTGATCAAAGACCACGCGAGCGATCGGACTGGCGGGCGGGCTGCGCCGCGTTCACGACGTCGCCTGGTCGCCATTGCAGACGACCACACGCCGCGTTGCGGGCACTTCTCGTCCAAAGATCCATTCGGCAATATCAATGAGCGTACGCATATAGTGACACACACAAGTGAAATACGCTTATGCGATACGATTAGGGTATTCAGAAATTGAAATAAATGACTTCAAAGGGCAAAGAAAGTAAGTAGGAGTATGAGTAAGAGGTTATGATTCAGTAATGTTCATAAAACCAATGATCGCGCGTTCGATCGTCGAACGGAATTCGACGATCGAACGAGAGTGGCCGCGATTGCTATCGAAAACGTGGTGACCGAATCATGTCCACATACTGTTCACATAATTAGTAATCTACAGAATAAGTTAATTATGAACTTTAAAAAGTCGCTCCTTGGCCACTTGGCCCCTATCAGCACGGCAACGAACTGCAAGAGACGAAAGTTCACTGATTGGCAAGATCGAGTACGATACGGTAAACATGTTATGAAATACGGCTAAACAGATTGATGATCAGCAGTACTTTGTAAGTCGGGCTTCTCTTAAGAGGGCGGAAATCCTCCAGACGCTTCCCCGAGCAATAGCATGAAGGTCAAACTGAGTGCATTGCTGCTGATACCCCGACGCGACTTCGCGTTTTAGCGCTACCGTTTCTCACAGCGCTAAAAGATGACGGCTGAATGCACAAAGTGATGCGAAAAAAAGCAAACGGAAATGACGTTAGCTTTTACATCAGTCGTCGTTCTGCTCAAAAGGGCAACGTGGGTGTGTCCAAGCGAAATTCAAGAGCCACTGGCACCTTACGAAAGCAAAGCTAGTTTTCCGCCGGCGCGTACAGTAGCCCCGAACTGGACCAACTTGCGACACTCTGCACGAGTGAGAGGTTACAGGGGGTTCTGTCAGCCGGAATGCTCTCCATGTGAGGGTCCAAAGGTATTTCCGCATAGTATCTATCCGCCCAGCAATTGGAGGGGGGACGGAAAAAGAAGAAAGAGAGAGAAGGAAGGAAGAGAAAAAAGAAAGTAGGAAGAAAAGAGTAGGGAGGAGAGAGGCTCCGTGGTGAACAAGCATCCCGAGACGATGAGTGAGAATGATACGGTCCCAAAATGTTAGCAGCCGAGGTGCTAATAGCCTGGGGGCAATTTAGAGGACTCTTTGGCGAAATTAGAATTACCGTACTAGTGATGGGGATCTTTGGCTAGGTCGTAAGAAGCAAAGGGGGCATGAGCGAAGCAATTTTAATTACTGTAATTCTGGATGGATAAGGTTAAGCCCAGTTTCGCACAAGGAGCCTGTAAATGCCGTCCACCTCACCCAAAGCCTCACCTAAAGCTCTTAGCGCCGCAACCGATTTGTTCTTGGCTCATGAGTAAAGAAGTAATCAGATTAGGAACAGAAACCAATCGCAAATACGGTCCCGAAGTGGCGCTTAAAACCTTGGGCACCTAAGATGGACTATTTGGGGGAAACTAGAGTTACAGTAATGGTGATGAGGACTATTGTCTACAGGAAAGTAGGTCTTGAGAGGGAGAGCTCAGGTGTGGGGGGGGCCCAATTTCAGTTACGGTAATTCTGCTCAGGTTAGGAGTTGAGGCCAAATAAGGTTAATCCCACTTTTCCCAGTTTTACACAGGGAGGCCGGTTAATGCTTCCCACCCCCACCTCCTCACCCAACGCTATTAGCGCCGTAACCGATTTAACCCGGACCATGGTGAAGGAGTAATGAGATCAAGAACAGAAACCAATCGCTGAATAAGTACGGTTGATGAAGAGCAAATCACTGACTGTCACCGTATCACAAATGCAGGCATGCGGTGATGCACGAGATACACGAACAGCTGATCAACAAAATGAAATAAACAAACACAAATGCATAACTAGTAGAGAACAAAAGTAAAAGATGATATCATTTTACTCGTGATAGGGATAACTACAAGTAAAAATAACAGTTAAGGGAGAGCAAAGATCACAGAAATCTGTAATGATTTGATGAAATGAATGGAATGAGAATGTTTTCGAATGAACACCTTACTCTTTTCTTTGACTCTCTCTCACTCTCTCCACCTATCTCACTATTTCGCAGTCTATCTCTCTGTCACGCAATGTGACAGATATGAAAGCAAAGTTCGAAGACCCCCACTGGATTGCAGAGCGACCAGAAATTCCAAGAGAGCACTTCGTCGTCGCCAGCCCAGCGATCAAAGAGCGTCAGACACATAGCGATCAATTGATGGGCCCGGCCAAAGGAAGAAGGGTCATCGACCAGTACGGGATGGAAGCAATGAATAAACTGCACGTTACTGTACTGACGGGAATTGCTCAACTACAAGTTGTCGTTAGGCTGAACTACGGCTAGGGCTAAACTAACGCTTCCCAAAGGAAATGGTTGGAGCGATAGGGGCGTGGCGTCGGGCGTTCGTTGATCAGCGCTTTGGAGGAGTCCGAATGGCAATCGAGGCAAAATCTGATTTCACCACACAATGTACTCTATCCGATCATTGACCAGCAGACACGAATAACATATACCGGTTTGACGAAAATATGCAAATTGCACAGCATATTTTAAAATAAGCAAAAATTGCTAAGGTATCGTATTCTGCAAATGTTCGTTCTCATTGACGTCTTACTGTTTTCGTTGAAAAGAACTTGGCACGTCAACGAGTTCAGTGATGGTATACCACATTGAAAAGTGGAGGTAAAGGTGAACGGGGTAAAGGGAATTGTCAGTGCCGTCAATCGTCGAACACAGATTGAATCGTCGTAACCAGAAACGGAAAAGTTGCCTTGCGCAGTGTTCATGGCACTTTTTTCGCCCATGGGAACGTCGACGTGCCATTTATTATCTTTGGACGAAAAAAACCCCTTTGGTCGAACAATGAACGTTCTTAGTGTGGCTTATGCCAAGGTGAGTGTAACGGGCGTATATCGGCCGCTCGCCCGACGAACGTGCGCGACTTGAACATGTAGGAGAAATGCGCTCTGTCACTGCACTGTGTGTTGCAGGTATTTTTCGGGAGTCAAACGCAAATGTGAGTGGGCGATGTACACCAGATGTGTGTGTGTGTGTGTGTGTGTGTGTGTGTGTGTGCCGCACTTGTGTGCAAAAAATCGGGCGCAACTCACGCGCGGTTTCACGGCAAAGTGCAGAAATACCAGAGTGTGGGGGTGGATTCGTCGGGATTCTCGCATGCCATTCAGCTCAACAAACGGTTTTTCTGGAACAGAGCGAGAGCGACGAGGACATTAACGGTTTTGCATCGTGCAAAACCCGAGCATTTCCTAAGCAACGACGACGATGGTCGGGGAATTCGGAGGCGCTATTCGGGGGAAAATCTGCACACACTAGACATGCTGATCAAAGATTAACACGTAGGAGTGGCGGCGCCGACGATGGCGACGACGACGTCGTCGTCGGCTGCGATAGGAAGGGAGAAGTGGGCGGGTGTGTTTTTGCTGAACATCGGGCGCGGCAAATCAAAACCTTCACATCCTCCTGTTGCTCGTTCGTCGTGATCACGTGCCAGAAGTCATGTTCCATCTCTCAAGCAAGGAAAACCAAAAATCATACTCATAATCCTTACTTGTTTCGCTCCTGGGCAATTTGCTGCATTCAGGGTGATGCAGGAACTCTAGAGGAAATCTAGAGTGAACGTCCATAAGGTCCAGAACCAAAGGCTCTTTACCCTCCCCAACTCAGCTCTTTACCCAAGAAAAGCAGACGATCTATAGAGGACAAACCTATTGAAGAATTAGGCTCCGCTCGTGGGTAACGCCCAGAAAAGAGGGATGAGGTGGGCGTAGGGGGGAGGGCGTAGGAGATAAACGCCGTAGTGAGCACGCTATTGGGAGCAATAGAAAAGTGATGACTCTGAATGCTACATGCGTCAGAACTGAATTTGAACTTTACCGCTTCAACAACCAGATGTGCTCGTTCTTTAAAGGGCAAAACGAGCGAGCGCGGGGCGAGATCGTTGACGGAGCGCAGCCGTTTGTGTGCGTGTGTTCATCCGAACCCCCACACACGAGAAACCAATAATGCACTCAAAGTGCAATGATGAGTGATTAGCATTTCGGCGAAGGGGCTGGGCTGCCAGTTCTAGAATTACAGACGAAATTACATTTTGTTCTGAAATAATTATTAAACAAGATAACCTTTTAATAAGTCATTTAATGTGGCTAATCCGAGATGAGTTGGTTCAAACGTCAAACTAGATTACTGTAACGTGAGGCTATAGTCAGTGAGTACTCGAGATCCAAAGAGTACAGCGACGAATAGTATTTAACGACTTATCAACAGTTTCAACAACTTCGTCAGCTACAGCGCCGGAAAAAGCTGAATAATACTATGAGTAAATCTAGAACGTTCGTTAATGTTTAAATTCAGTGAGCATGAGGCTGGGGGCGGGCGGTTGCTGCCAACGTCATTGGTGGAAGGGCTGAGTGAGGTGTGGCCAAACGCACTGTCGCAACCTTTTCACCAGTGACTGCCCGCCCTACCCACCGTGCCCTCTCTTCTCAGTCAAGAAAACAGCGAGCGATCTTTCCGATATTTTTTGGAGTATTTTATCCACAAATTCAAAATAACACCTGAAAGAGCTATTCTTAGCCTGTCACAAGCTTTTTTTCGCGCTACTATACAGGACGGGGCTTAGAAAGGAATTAGGAAGCTTACAGAAGGAGCGCTTCATCTCTTTCCATAAATAACATGATAATAATAACAGCGCCTTTATGGATGGCTAACTTGTCTGGAACTTGATTTACTAGCTGGAAACTTGTAATTATGTAGATGTTCTTTTGAAAATGAAAAGATTCAACGGGTTATTTCCCTTTATGATTGTTGGATCTTTGTTTCATAGGATTTGCAAGAGTTGCTAGCAAAATCTGATAGATACATAATTAGGCCAGGCGATATGTGATCATTATCGTGCAAGAA